GTGGGCATAGGTGCGCGCGGTAGCTGGGAATATCCCAGCAACATCATAAACATGGTATTACCACGTCAGTTGTTCAGTCTTGATGTTCTCGATAGAAATAATTTTAACACATTGGATGCAGGGCGCACAGCAGCCGTAAAAAGACTGAAAGTTTTAGTTTTCGATATTCATGACGCACCAGCAGAATTATGCGAATGATCGTCTCGGCATTTTCTCATTTGAACGGGTCGTGGATTTTATTAGATGCTGGACGAATCTGGAGCTGCACTGGATGGAACCGGCACGCATTGCTGCTGGTTATTTCACGCGTTTTGTGGCAGAAAAAGTTCCCATATGGAATGTGAGCTTCTCTTTTTGATTCACTGGCTTTTATTCTTCTTACATTGTTACAGTGAGCATCTTTCAGAATATCAGATAATTCCTGCATACTTTCAAAAACAGATGTTTTTGATAGCACAGCGCGACAGGAACGGTTTTGTCAGAGTATAAAATTACGAATGGCATTTTCAGAATTCTGTATTGCTTTTCATGTGTTTTGTCCTTTACTTGTTATGCTGCCACCAAAGCCATCTTTTTCCGCGCTTTGATACACCGAGGTTGTAATTTTGAAAATTTTTTCAGAATCCTTGTGTTGATCCGCGGCACGCAAAAATCCTTCCACAAGCACTTAATTGTACCGACATGCCGCTTCCTAACATGCTTATTGTGGGCCCACAAAAAACCGGTTCAACAGCTCTTGCGACTTTTTTGAATTTGCACCCAAATTTCTCCACAAACGATCCGATATCTTCATCGTTTGAAGAGCTGCAATTCTTTGGCGGCCCAAATTATGCTCGTGGATTGCTCTGGTAAGTTCCAGAAGTTTTGCGACTTGCTTTTTTTTCCAGCAGCCGTGGAAATTACAAGAGGTGTGCCTCGTCACTAAAACATGCGAACGCTTCAGCCTGGTATATGGATCGGCAAACAGGAGGTGAAAGAGCTGCTAAGAATCTCATATGTTCGGAAGATCTCTCCACAGATCGGGCTGAACTTCGCGACTTGCACAGGCAGCTATAGGTCGCGTTCTAGAATTGAACTCATAAGCCATTGCCTTCAGGAAATAATCTGACTTCCTTGAAATTTACGAAAAGAAAAACACGAAGAGTCAAGCATACTGCCGCCTGGAGGTACACAAAAGCGATTTTACTTGGCGCAAAAAAAGACAGGAGTTGGCGAAGCAGAATTTTTCGTCAGCGAAAGTGGCCTTTGCAAATCACCTACTTGTTTCACTTGTCGCGAGTGAACGTGACATGCACCTTTTCAGGCTTGATCTGAATAAACCGTAGAAATTATTCATGTCTTCCTGCCCAAAAGTTAGTGGGATGGGAAGTGTGGTGTGAAATACGCTAGTGGTTACGGCAGTAGCAGAAGTGAGGCAACAGCGGCGAAGACGAACAAACTGTTTCAGTAACATTTGTTGCCTCCACGATCAGCACGGTGAACTTCGCTTGCGCTGAATACAGAGCAAAGAGGAGGTTAACCAAATGCTTTGCTTGGCGTATTTTCAAGCTGTCTTCATGATACCGTCCTTCAGTTCAGCAAGCAGTCACCCCTTTTTCAGCTAATAATACGTGTTCGCAGCTGCTGAAACAAGGATATCACACAGGTTAGATCGGCGACCTGCATAATTTCATATTTATAAGTTTTTCCACTAACCAGTTAACAAGACTCCACGACGAACCCAAAGATAGTCTGGGTTTTAGTGTGTTCTTTGAGCAGTGAGCAACATATGCGTTACA